AGAATAAATTAATTCCAATCTATTTTCTTTTCTCTGAGAACTTTTACGAAAAAAACTCTATTATGTTTACCAAACAAACAATAATCACATGAATCTAGAGATATACCTTTGGTCAAGGGAATGAGAGAGTGCCTTGCCAAAACCTGTAACCTTTTTTCACTCATGTGTGCTAGCCTCCTGTGCCACAAGTTTGCTGAAGCATCATTTTCAACGGTATTTACCTGGTTACCGTTCAATTGCATCCATGTCTTATACATTGTACAGCATAGTTTTCCCTTTACAACTACCATGATCTTTTGAGAAGCTTTCATTGTCCATTCTTTTGTCGGCTTTCATATCCCTCCTTATCAAGGACATTAATAGCAAGCAAGTTCATTATCATATCTGAAATGTGTCTGACATCCCTCAAAGTCAACATGCAGCCTGTACTAGTTTGTACAATAATATCACCAATCCCAACAATCTATGACACACTCTTGTTTTCCATCTTGGTACAATCAAAGTCTCCTGCTTTATAAGTTGTAAACAACTCTCTCTTAGGAACACAATGATATGTTGCTCCTGTATCAACTACCCACTCAATGCCGGGATCACTAACATGATTGTAATCACCATGTGTACAAATCAAAGTAACTGAATCACTATCTGAATTCACTACTGCAACATTGCTATCATCTGAACTCTTGCCTTTCTCATCTTTTCGCTCTTGCTTCAAGATTTTACAGTTTCGTTTTATATGACCCGCCTTACCACAATGGAAACACTTCACTTTACCTCTAGACTTGGATCTATGTTTAGACTTACCACGGCCTTTTGAGTCCTGACCTCTATCGATGTTTCTACCCCTGTTCTCTGTGACTAGAGCTTGATTCCCAGGGTCTACATCTTTTCGTCTTGCTTCTTCATTGAGCATACTGTCCTTTACCATCTCCAATGTCACTTTATAATCAAGAGCTGAATTAAGAACAGTCACAACTAAAGTATTCCAGCTGTCTGGCAATGAACCCAAAAGAAATAACGCCTTCATTTCATCATCCATCTTAAGCTCCGTAGTAGTCATCCGATTAAATATATCTTGAAAATCACTCAAGTGCTCTGTAACAGATCGTCCATCCATGTACTGTAAAGTTGTAATCTTTTTAACAAGCATAACTTTATTCATACCTATTTTTCTCTCATACAATGCTGTCAATTTTTTCCAAACAATGTGAGCATCTGATTCCTGCGCTACATGATAGAACATGTTGATATCAACCCATTTTCTGATTGTAGCCAGCCTTTTTCTACCTAGCTTCTTCTAGCTTTCATCTTTCATATCCGCTGGTTTAGCCGAATCACCCAATATTGGCTCATACAAATCTTTGCAGTATAGATGATCCTCCATCATAGGCTTCCAAATTGAATAATTCGATGCTGTCAATTTTATCGTGGAACCCGTATTACCATCCATGATCTCAAACAGAATTTACTTCTATCCTGGGTTGCTTCTGTATCGATGTCTCAAAATAACCCTTACTCTGATACCACTTGTTGCGCCTGAAGCAATAATCACAACAATACAGAAGCAATAGACAACAATCAATAATCAAATACGCAGGAAAAATAAAGCACACCAAGATTTACGTGAAAAACTCTCTAGTGTAGAGGAAAAAAACCACGGGCCACCAGAAAAATCTTCACTATCAAATAATAGTTATACAAAGTTCTTCTCTAGCTAAAACTAGAGCTAATCAACAACTAGAGAAACAATTGGAGAAATCTCACCAAATAAGTGATGCAACAAATACACCTTGGATTTGTTCCTAGAGAGCTTCAAACCCGATCTTCACCGTTCAGAATGTAGAACTCTGAATCATAAACCTCCTGACAAGGTTCCAACTCAATCGGACCACGGATCGACTTTCGTTCAACCAACTCTCCCTTCTCTTTTTTCTCTCTCTGCTTTTCCTGACTTTTCTTCTTTCTCTGCTTGGTTTTCGACACACACTTAAAACAACCCCACCTCTTTTTTATTAAGTAGCTAGGGCTCTGTGTAAAATAAAAGATCAAGGCCCATGACCTTTACTTGGTCCAAAACTACTTACATGAGACTGGACCCATTTTCCTAACACAATGAAAAATTGAATTTGTATCATCCTTTAAATTCACAAAAAAAAATAATAATAATAAAAAGTTGAATTCAAAGTCAAAGAGTAAAATTCCATATCAAAATTTCAAAAAAGACTCACTTTTTTAACCCGTCTTTGAGTATAACTTGTTTTTCTAAGGTTCAATCCAAGAAAATACCAGGGTTATGCTTCATACCGATAGAATTCCCATTGTTCAAGTGTGCTCCATTGAAAGAAAATGATGCGTGGTTTGCTTCTTGCTCATAGTTTTTTGGTGGGTTTAGCTTCAATTTTTGCTTAAATAATTCAATTTTTACATTTTTTTTAAAATTTTACCGAAAAGATAATGGAAACAAAAAGGAAAAGAAAACAGAAGTCTCATAGACGAGAAAGTTGATTCCTTTCCTCTAATTGAACAACAATCAATTAATTATTGCTATATAAGTTTGTTATGCATGTACCTGTAATATTTTTATGCTTCTTTTAGAACTAGTGGAGGGCTAAGACACATGGCCAAATTTTTAAAAATCTTGCACCAAGAAACTCATGCAAAAAGTCAATCATTTTGAAGAAAAAAAATAAAGGTAACTTATCCTGAGTGGAACTGGAATAAGTCTACAATCACATAATCAAATTTCTTAATATTAAAATTAATGCAAATAACCAATAATAAATATATAAATAGTTCATTAATTGCAGATATAAAATAAAGACCTTTAATTAAACATTGCCATGCAAAATATCAGTCTTAAAGTTGATTTATTACAGATTATAAACAAACACGTGTACTTCAGCCAATCAACTCCGATCTTATTTGGATTGTCATTAAGAATGGTGACAGGAACTCCAATGTTTTGCCAAACATTATGCACAGCACCATCTTTAAAGGAGTACACCTTCTAAGAAAGAAATTAAAACACAAGAAGCTAAAGATGAATCCATAACTTCGTTTTCTAAGATTTTGTAAATCATAAACTCATAGTCATTATTATCACTTCCAACATGTCCAGTAAGTTATCAACTGAAAAGGCATTTAGAGTATTTTTTATTCAAAACTAGATTTCTAACTTTTAAAACAAAAAACAAAAAAAAATCAGACTCACTAATGATGAAATGTCCAGAACTCAATGTCATTAACCTGAATTTCATAACCAATCTCTCTCAATACAGTTGCAGTGGTCACCATTAGCAACTGTTATGGGTCAACTAGTAGATCGGCAAACACTTTCAAATATAAATTTTGAAAAACAAAAACCTATAAGTAAGTAATAACAACATTGAATGAACAAAAATAGAAAAAGTTTTGCACTAAACAATGCAAGCTGAGGCTTTCTAATTGGAAACGGTATTGAAGCATGTTGAAAACAGATGAAGAATCCAAATTCACTTGTTTCTTTTCTCTCTGGAATTTCTCTAAAATCTTACATGGTTACAATTTGATATCTTCACCAAAATCCAACCCACCCATCTCTTGCAAGTACTTCAATTCTCTAAATACAAAATCTTTATCATCCAAAAAGGAATCTTGAGATTTGTCCATTACTGAACCAAGTGAAAACATTTGAAAAAACACCACAAAGAACAGGAAAACAGCAATTGTGCAAATCCGTTGGAGATAATCTAGCTTCTTGAACAGCAAAAAAGTGTTTTTTTTTTTTTTTACCTCTTAACCCTCTTTGGATCAATGATGGTATCGCCATTGGTAGAGATAGTGCAGCTTGGGTTTCGGGATTGGATGGGCTATCTACCTCTCCAGGTTCATTCTTGGGTTGTTGCAGATCCAATGATGGAATTAGTTTCTCGTCATTGTTGCTATTTTGATCCAATGTTGGTGTTGAATCGATAAAGATTAGTAGCCCTTTGAAACCTGCCATTACAACAATAAAACCCCAAGAATTAATCAATTTCCAAAAATAAAAGATACCCAGAAATAAAACCCCAAGAATTGATCCATCATCCAGGCGATCAAAGATATTGGCATCTGTCATCATTTTTCACTTTGCAGATTCTCTAATCCCTTTCTTTCTTCCTCATTTTTTATTTCCCAAGCCCTCTATGTTGTTCCCCTTTCTTTTCTCCACATATCTCTAGAAGCTTTCTCTCTCAAATAACTGTCTTCCCAAAACATATTTCACATCATTTTTTTTTTTACATTGATGAATTGTACAGCAAAATAGAGACGGGATTGCCTTTATTTATTGTTCAGAGAAAGGATTCTTTTGTTCAGGGAAAGGAGGAGATTAAGGGAAGAAAACTGAAAGCTTTGAGAAAGCAAGTAGATATGCAAGAACAACCATCAGAGACTGCCTTTCATCAGATCAGCCGGCAAACAAGAATAGTAGCTCTCAGAGCTCTCACTCGATATGGGAAAGTCCAACTTCCACTCTCAGAACTCAAAACAGGGTTGTGGGAGATTCGGTCGTTCAATATCACCAAGGGAGCGAAGAAGGAGTCCTAGAAGAGAGGATGGCCGAGAATGCAATGGAGAGGAGAAACGAACTCCTTCCTATTCTGATTTACCCCTAACCAATGCAGAGTTTCAAGGATTCAGACTCCACACAATCTCAGGCTTTTTCATGGACAGAAGCAAAACTGAATCATCCAATGTGGGTTTTAGCAATTCAGGTGACTCAGCACTTAAGTCACCCTCTAGAGATATTGATGAACAGCCCTCAAACTATAGTGATCAAGATAAGGACCAGCCTGCATATGAAGCAGTTCAGAATATGCCTTAGCTCGCCCATATTCATAGGGGAGGAGCTCTTGATCCACAGGATCGTTATGTATCCCAAGATGAGAAGACTGCACCAGGGGTGGAATTTGAGAGAGGAACAGGTCACCCCATGCTTCTAGAGGCTATCTGTGCGCCAACCCAAAAATCTAGCCTTACTAATGTCGATGTTACTATGGAACTGTAGAGGTGAAAGGCATCCGAACTTTGTGAGAACGGTAAGAGAACTGGCTGGTACGCATGGACCTAATATTATGGTCATTACTGAAACTCGTGCTCGAGGAGAGGATGTTCGCCATATAATTGACCGCCTTCCTTTCGATTCTTGGAAGGACACAGCCACTATAGGGTACAAAGGAGGGATTTGGTTGCTGTGGAAATCTGATCTCTTGGACGTGGATGATATTTGCGCTACAGAACAGGAGATCCATGCTACAATCAAGGTAAAATCAAATAATTTTTCTTGGTTAATTTCTGCTATTTATGCTAGCCCTCGTTATAATGAAAGATTGTTTTTATGGGAAAATCTTAAAACTGTTGCATCCCATCATGATCTTCCATGGTTAGTTTTAGGGGATTTTAATGAAGTTCTTAATGGCGAAGATAAGAAGGGAGGTAGACCTGTTTCTTTGGTTAGATCTGGGGCTTTTAAGGACTGTCTGATTTTCTGCCATCTTGCGGACCTTGGATTCTCTGGACCTAGGTTCACTTGGTCTAATAAGAGGAATGTGTTGGACTTGATCCAAGAACGGATTGACTTTGTTTTTGCCAACTCCGCTTGGTGCCTCGCATTTCCTGAAGCAAGGGTGTCTCATTTGCCAAAAACCCGTTCTGATCACTACCCAATTTTGCTGTCTTTGAAAAACAAAGTTCCTAGGGTAGGTCTTAAACCTTTTCGCCTTCAGAAGATGTGGTTTGACTACCCCGAGTTTTTAACCCTCGTCCGTAACAGTTGGAGTAATGGCCAAGAATCATTAGCTCAATCCGTGCTGACTTTGAGAAAGGACATGCAGGAATGGAACTTGAACTCCTTTGGTAATATTTTTTTGAAGAAGAAAAAAATTCTTGTTCTATTGTCGAGCATTGAAAAAGCCCTGGCAAATTCACCGAACCAATTCCTCTTGAACCTTCAAAGAACCCTTTTAGAAGAGTTTAATGGCATCCTTAAAGCAGAGGATGATATTTGGATTCTCAAGTCTAGGGTGAATTAGCTTATTGAAGGAGAAAGAAATACTAGATTCTTCCATGTTTCTATCATTTTACGAAGGCATTATAACAGAATTTCTAGGCCTAATGAATGATGGAGTGTGGATTACTGAACCTAGCGATCTTGGCCTGGTGGTCCAAGATTACTTCATGAAGCTGTATACTTCTTCCTTCTCTCAAAGTTCCCATTTTGTCACTTCTGACCTCAATTTGTTGCTAAGCTTACCACACAAGATCAGCATGATCTGTTGAAACCTATCTCAGATTTGGAGATTCAAAAAACATTTTGGAGCTTCAAGTTCTTCAAAGCACCTGGCCTGGATGGTCTCCACCCTTTCTTCTACCATCGTTGCTGGAATATTGTGAAAGATAAGATTTGTGCCACTATCAAACAAATTTTTGAGGTGGCATCCATGCCCGAAGAGTTGAATGAGACATTGATCTCCTTGGTTCCCAAGCGTATTAATCCTATTCGGATAGACCAATTTAAGCCCATAAGCCTTTGTAACATACCCTACAAAGTTATCTCAAAGATCATGGTTTAGAGACTAAGGCCCTTTCTAGATAAGTTGATTTCACCTCTCCAAGCTAGCTTTGTTCTTTGTAGAAACGGTTGTGATAATTGCATTATTATTCAGGAACTTGTCCACTCATTTAAAACTAAGAGAGGAGGATTAAAACATATGATAGTCAAATTGAACCTGGAAAAAGCATATGACAAGCTTGAATAGGGATTTATTATGAAGGTGCTTACCTTTTTCAATCTACCAAAGTCCTTGATTTCCCTAATCATGAGCTGTATCTCATCCTTATCTATTTCCATTTTGATGAATGGAGGAATGCTGAAAAAATTCAAGCCTTCCAGAGGTTTGAGACAAGGGGATCCTTTATCCCCTTACCTCTTTATTTTGTGTATGGAGTTTATAAGTCTAAAAATTCTTGAAGCTGTAGAAGATCGTAAATGACAGCCTACTAAAAGTTCACGAAATGGCCCTATGCTTTCTCATGTCATATTTGCAGATGACATTACTCTTCTAAGCAAAGCAAAAAGAAAAACTACCAAGTCTATGCATGAGGTTCTCATGGCATTTTATGGTGAGTCTGGGCAGACCATCAATCTGGAGAAATCCAAAGTTTTATTTTCTGCCAACACTAGACAAAACTACAAAAGGGATATTACTAACCTTTTAGGCATTAACGAAACCCTTGATCTCGGAAGATACCTAGGTTTTCCTATCCATAAAAGGAGAGTTAGTAAGAATGATTATGCTTTCATTGTCAACAAGGTCAAAGCAAAGTTAGCTAGTTAGAAGGCAAATCTACTTTCTCTTGCAAGAAGAATGGTGCTGATCAAGTCGACTACGAAAAGCATCTCCAGTTATTATATGCAATGTAGAGCCCTTCCAGTTAGCATTTCAAATTTGTTAGACAAGGTTAGCAGGGATTTTTCATGGGGGAAAAACGGGGATAAGAAGAGATTGCACTTACTTAATTGGAGTGAAGTGACCAAGAAAAAAAATGAAGGTGGACTGAGTTTGAGAAAGATTCGAGCTCAAAACCAAGCACAATTAGCTCAGTTGGTTTTGGGATTTCATCATCAAAAGGATGCTTTGTGGGTTAAAATGCAGAAAGGGAAATATCTCTAGGAAAACGACACTTTAAGAAAAGCTTCTAAAGTGTAGACGATGTGGAAAGCCAAGAGATGGGCAGGTCTGATTGTTGAAAAAGGTATTGGCTAGGTCATTGATGATGGCTCTTCTACGAGTTTTTGGCATGATAATTGGTTGGCGTATGAGAGTTTAAGAAATACTGTTCATGGCCCTATTAACTAGCAGGAGGATCAAATTTCAATAAGCCAATGTTTGAATGCATTAAAAAATAATCAACCTCTTCCAATTTCTTTCAAACTCAATGCTGATATTCTTGATAAGATAAATGTTATCCATTCTCAACTGGTGGGATAGGAACAAGATAGTATATACTGGTCTGCATCCTCTAGTGGAGTATTCACTACCCAATTTGCTTATGACTTTGCTAGAGGAACAAGTCTGAACGAGAATAAAGGTCAATGGAAGTGGATTTAAAAGTTGCGGGCTCTACCAAAAATTAAGTTTTTCATCTGGCAATGCATGCATTGTATCTTGCCTACACGTAATGAGCTTGCTAGAAAAGGGTTGAACGTCCCGACTACTTGTGTGTTCTGCATGCATGACCGAAAGGATTTGGAATACCTATTTTACAATTGCTAGTGGACCAGAAACAAATGAGTTGACTTGCGAGGAGCCTCTTTGCCTCTATCCTATCAAATCCTAAACTGTAGACAATGGATAAAAGAAAATGCTTTGAATAAGCATTGATCCATGTATGGTATCCCCTGGTACTTGTTGTTTATCCATAATCTATGGGAGATTTGGCTTGAAAGGAATAGAAGAAATTTTAGACAGAATGGTGAGATCGTTGACTTGATGAAATTGGCAACTACGAAGGTTGTTGAATTCTTTGCGATGAACCAGAGAGGAGTTCGAGCTCCGTTATAATCCTTTGTGTCCATTAGGTGGAACCCTTCTAATGAGGGATGGTATAAATTGAACACAGATAGCTGGGCATTGGGCAACCCTAAGAAAGCAAGAGCTGGAGCCATTATTCGAGACAGTGAGAGAAAATAGATTTTTGATTCCTCTAGATATATTGGGGTGTGTTCAAATATTTTGACTGAATTATGGGCTTTTAGAGATGGATTATTTTTGGCGAAAAGACTCAATATCCACAAGTTGAAAATTGAACTCGATGCCACCACCGTTATGTCCATAATTAAGAATCACCAGGTGACTAATCTCGTGGTACTCCCTTTGGTCTTTGATTGCAAGAAGTTGATAGAAGATCTTGAAGATCAATGCATGCTTCATGTGTTTAGGGAAGGGAATAAGTGTGCTAATGCCCTTGCTCAATTTGGTAGTAGCAATTGTTGTAATAGTTCTAGTCATTACGAAGCTAACTATGTAGTGTTTGGTAAATCTCCTTCTTTTGTTAAAGGTTTAGTCCTTGCCAATGAAACTGGACATGTTATGTATTGTATTATTTTATAATTAATTCATTCCTTGTTTCTTATCAAAAAAAAAAAAATTCTTTTATTTTCAATTGTAATGTCCATTTTTTTAAATGACAAAATTTATTTTTATGGATAATTGAATCATTATCACGACTGTTGGCTAGTATATCAATAGTTTTAAATACTTATTTTTTTTATTGGAAACATAAAAAAAAAAGTAATTTGAGTTTTGTCCTCCAAATAAGCACTTTAGTTCTAGATACACCTCCATTGGAAAAACTAAAATTTAAGCCTAATTATAGCTTTAACATTTTTTATTTTTTTGGATATAGATGATCGTGATAGGTAAACAAAAGGAAGTTGTTCTACTTTTATCTTATTTCAAAAATTTCATCCCGATTCGAATTTAAAAATCCTCCTAATCAGACAATCTTAATCTTAATCTTTTTAGTAAGAAATTAAAGTTTAAAAGATTCAAGAAAAAAATTTATAAAGAGTTTTAACCATAATTTCACCTTTTAATTTTGGGTTAACAAATTGAAAGGCAATTTTGGGCTAGTTCTTTCCATCCCTATGCAGCCAAGACCCATAAAGTGTGCTAAAAGACGAGTTTTGATTCTATCCTCTCGGTCCCATGAAGTTATCACAGAATTACAACCACAAAATCTTAAAATTGAAATGATATTTATTAATAAAATCAAATTTATTTAATTAAAATATTTAAAGTAAATATATTTATTTATTATGAGTCAAGATTTTATGATTGTAGTTGACCAACATCAAAGCTCCGTGACAATTCCCACGGAGCCAAGTCCATTTGGTTAAAACTCGCTAAAAGAAACCTTTTAGCCAGGTTACATGCATAATGAATTTGTAAAAATATGATTATTTTAATCAGTCGATGGATTCGAAATTTGTATTTAGTGGGATAAATAGTTAAATAATATTATTTACACTATTTTATTTAAAATTATTATAATTTAAAATAAATTTCGTTAATGTATAATGTTAAATACTTTTAAAAATATAAAATAATAAAATTTGTGTATTAAAATTAAAAAATTATAAGAAGTCAATTCTATATAAAAAAACTCTATACAACAATTTTTTAATTTTTTTTTCATATAGTTGTTTTTAAAATAAATTTTAATTTAAAGTTCAAAATATTATTTAAATTGACTTTTGAGATGTCATAATTAAATAAATTCACTGTACAGGCCATAATAAAAATATGTCACATAACTTCAAAAAATAAAAAAAAAATTATAACTTCAAAATAATATTAAATCTTTATATCATAGTATCAAAATTATTCTACATCTAAAAACTTAAAAATATTCAAATTGTCAAATAAACTTACTTGATCAAACTAAGATGAAAAATGTCGAAGTGTTTATTTAGTTTTTTTTATAGAAATCTTATTTCGATATTTTCATTGAATGAATTTACATTTCCTTTTCCACAAGTTTTTTTTTTTCTTTTATTCAGTTGTTTGATTCCTAACAAATATTTCTCTTTCCTTTTTTTATTATAATTTTCCTTCTTTTTAGAGTTTTTTAACTTTTAGAAATTTCTCTGAGAATTAATTTTAACTAATGTCAAAAGAAGTTATTACATTAACTATCAATAATAATTTTATATTTGCATTGTGAGCCATTATTTTATTCAATTAACTGTTTTATTTTGTTAATAGATCCATATACCTTTCAATATTAGAAAAGGCTCATACTTAAATTTTTTTATAATTTAATGGGGGCAAAAACAAAAATTTTAAGAATTTAGGCTTGTTTCGCATAATTCCATTTTTTTTCTTTAGTTTTTAGTTGGAAAAAATATAAAATTTGTTAAATTTTGAATAACTTACTAATGGTAAAATTTAATATTCAAGATTTTAGTGGCATTGCCCTCACCCTAGATTCGTTCCTACATTATAATAGTTGATAAATTGATTCAAAATTTTGAAATTTATAACTTATATAAATTAGTCACCAGAATGTAATTGGTTTTACACATCGGCAATGTCTTAAAAAAAAATTCAAGGGGTAACCCCCAAAAATGCCATAAAAAAAGAAGCTTTCTAGATTTGAATGAAGAAAAAAAAAAAAAAAAAGAGAAGAGAAGGATTGAAAAAAAAATCAGAAGCTTCTGCAGCTAACAATCAAAAAAATTAAAATAGAGAAAAGGGGAAGAGAAAAAGAAAAGGAAAGAAGAGAAGGAAGTTTGGGTTTAATTGGTGGAATGTAGATGATATAAAGAGGTCTGACAACCACCGATGAAGTTGCCAATTGGAGCCCCTTCTTATTCTTTTTTTCTACCTTCGAGCGCGGGCAATTTGATTTGCAGTAGTGGTGGGGGATGGGTGCATCAATGAAGGGGAAGAAAATTTAAATTTATTATGCTAGGGATTTGAAGATTCTTGGTCCTATCTTCTCTCACTCCACTACTATTGTTGGCATATATTTAAAGTTAAACTTATTATTTTCTTTTTAAATTTATTTAAAAAATTGCTTTTTAATGTCTAATCAATTGTTTTTAATGGAATTAGTGTATTAATTTTTTAGATTGTGGTTAAGGTGAGTTGTTTTGACTTTACAGATAGCAAGCTAATAGATTCCAAGGTTCGACTAGAGTGGTTGACATGTGTGCTCTTTAAAACCCCTAAATCAGTCTACATTTGCTTGGTCTACCAACGTTCACTCCTTGCTACTCCACCACTGGCAACCCACCTTTGCATGTATGATTATGTTTTACTTGAACTTTTTTTATCATGACCATTGATCAATTCTTGAATTTCTTAATTTGGTGATGTTGAAATTTTTATTGTTTTAGGACCTAAATTTGAAATGGTAAAGGTTTATGGGTTTGTTCATTTATTAATTTTTATTAATTTTGATTTTTTGTATTTTATTTGCTATATGAAACTTCTATTTTTTCAAATTATTTTGTTTTTCTTTCACGATCACCATTGGTGTGTCGAACTTGACAATAAAACCACGCTTTGTGGTGGTAGGCCCCAAACACCCAATAAAAAGCCTAATCTAAAAAATGTCCAACTTAAACCTTTTTCTCAAAGTTGCCCACTCCACAATAAACCCTACCTAGCTCACTTGATAATCTAAACAAAAATGGAAAAGAAAATCATGAATGTCTAATTAAGTGATATATGTCATTCAATTCGAACCTAATTGAAGCAAATGTGAATAGCAACATTCCAAGACTACTTTTAACGCTATCAAAGTGGACATGCAAAGAAGCTGTGATTTGGAAAAGGTATATATTTAGAAATATTAGATTTTTTTTTTTTGGTATTGTTGATTTATTTTTTTTTTTTGAAATTTGTTGATAGTTTTTGGTAGAAACTAGGTTTTATGAAAGAAAATAGGAAGCTGCAAAGAGAGAATAATTTCTCTGTCAAATTCAAGAGGTAATTGCATGTATTTTTTGTGAAAAAATTCATGTTTCTATAAAGCTTTCAAACTTGTATGTATAATTTGATACTTTATTGATGTTTCAACTCTACCATAGGAGTTGTGCTAAGGTTGATTTTCAATGAAAGGCTTCTTGGTGCTGTGCTACTTGAAAGAGCAAGGTTTCTTG